GGCCAGGTGAAAATTCCAAGTTAACGGATGAGAGCTGCATTCTTTAAAAACGGCTCTGACTTGCTGTTGGGTCTTTGCATGGGTTAATTCTCACTCTCAGAGGTTGTCCAGAAGCAATATCTACTTCTCGCAAGCCGAATCCTGTGCCTGTAGCCAACTACCTAGGGTTTCCGCGATCTCCTGGATGTAGCTATCATCTCCATGCGGGAGGCCCCCTTTTCCAGCTCAATGTAGCTGCCTGCTCGCTTGCAAGCTATATCTAAAAGCTTGGAGCGAAGCCAATCCCAGTTCTCTCCAGCACTCCGGCAGCCCATACCCTCCTATCGTGGGGCCAACGCCCTGGGGAGCAGAGGAGGCCCCCTCCATCATGGAAAGGCTTCACGCCTTCCAATAAAACTCAGACCCTTGGTGGGCCTTCTCCCCCGAGTATCCTGGAGCCTTCTGAAGAGCAGATCGGATAGCTCTCCTTTGAATCTGTGGATTGACCCGGTTCAGTCTCCATCGTAGCAGTCGTTACCGGCGGTGGTATCAAAGCCACCAAGAGCGACGCTATCCACTGGCACATTCTCGGGGACCAGCATTCTGTGCCTGAGGTTTTGAATGGACCTGTAGCTTGTAGACATTTTATCGACCCCATCCCTTTAGCTAAAGGAAGGGGACCCGTTTAAAAGCCCTCACTATCAAAACAAGGGGGACCCTCATAGCAAAAAGAGGGAGGCTGAATTCTTGCTTTTAGCAGCAGTCTCGTGGGCTTAGGATATCTAACTCGCAGATTCCTTGATGAAAATCGCAGCTTCTGAACCCAGTTTTAATCCAAGATATCCAGGAATTGTGGCCATTGCCACATCGACGCTGGCCGTTGTCCAGGATATGGTCCATATCTCATAGCGCCCAAGTCTTCAAGCTGTTCCAGCAGCAGAAAGTATCTGCTGCAGTCACAACTACCTCCCACGAGAAATCTGCAAAGATATCGCCAAGTATCGCTCGATTCCTCTCTGCAGCTATGAGTTTATCTAGCGCCCAAGGAGACGCTGTCGAGGGCGCGGAGGGGATCGTTGCGGACGATGAGGTCTATCGTGGTGGCGAGGGTTACGAGCTCCTTGTGGTTCCGAGCTCCTATCGCCACTGGCGGGTTCGCCTGGAGGTAGATCTGGCGCAAAGATCCTCTGGCCGATTCCCCTCATGTGCCATGACGCCTCAGTGTCAGCGCTACCAGCTGCCCTGAACGCCGCTGACGCAGCCTCCTGAGCTTCTCCACTCTTTTCGGAAGGGCAGCTAATCTAAAAGACGATGCCGAGGATCCCGAAGAAGAATTGCTCGATGATCTCTTCCTCTCTTTTTGAGTCTTCTTCTTCTTCTTCTCCTTCACACCTTCCAGCTCAAAGACTGACCTCTTCCCTCCAGGCGGATCTCGACCTTGAATCTGCGCTAGGAGGTGGGCTCCCGAGTGCATTCAGGTTCTTGGTGGCCGCATCCACCTTCATCGAGCGCTACCCAGGGGTCTGGAGAGCTTAGGTGTGCTGCGATCAACTCCTTGTCCGCGTCAAGTCCTGGACCGCCACAACGTTTCCAACTTCCTCAGCACCAAGTTTATCTCCGGCCTCTGCCAGGTACACCATCTGTTGTCCTTGCTGGCGCCCGCGGTCATCATATGCCGCTGCCTCCGCACAAACGTCCTCCTCAAGTGGCTTGGACTTGCTGTCCTCCCCATTTTTCTCCATCTAGGTAGGGGCGGGGCAGCGCGGCCATGGCGCTCTATCCGCTGCCTCCCCAAATCAAAAGGACTTATGGTACCTCCCCACTGAAAAGGTGAAAAGGCAATCGATGCTCAACCTGCTGCAGCCGCAAAACGAGGCCCCTTGCTGTGAGGGGCCGAAAGTTTTCTTTTCTAAGGGTATATCCCCGACATACAGATGCGTGAGCTCAAGAGGAACAATAGCCACATAAGGCAATACCAGGACAAAGCTACACCAGTGCGAACAAAAATGGGTCCGGTCCAAAACATATCTGCATCCATAAACCATAAACACCTTTATACTTGATTTATAACACCGATGGCAGAAATATCTGCATGAAAGCATATGAACCTACTAGCAAAACTATGAAGTAGAAAACAATAAACAGAAAACAGAAGCCAGTAGCAAGAGGTAAAACGCCAAACACAAGAAGCAGAACGCCGAAAGCAACAAACAATAAACAGTCGGCAAAGGGCACATGGCAAAGGCAGTAACAAAAGCGCACAAAAGCAACACTAACTCTTTACGAGTTAGGGCAGCGGCCCAAAGCGCAGCGAGTGCGAGTATTCCTGGACCTTGTGAAGCAACTTTTGCGATGTCTTTACTGAGCGTGAATCGCGGCCTCCACGCGGCTGACCACTCCCTCCGTCACGCTGCAGGCATCCCCACCTTGGAAGTGAAATGGAAGTAAAACAAGAAGGAGCAGAGCTCATGCAGAACACTAGGCCGCCAAAGTTGACTGCCATGCGTTCAAGACTACTTTCTTCAGCCGAAGTATTGAGTTTAGCGTACCGTGTTGCCAGCCTGAGCCTTACCTTAACTTTTGCCTACCCAGTGCTGAGATTGGAAGCGGAGCATGTGAACATGTCAAAGTAGTGCAAATGAAAACGGTCCATAGTCGGCTTGGGGTCATGACATCTGCAAGTCTTGGGCGGACTTCTCTACGAGTTTGGAATGACCATTGCCATGCGCAGTGAGCAAAGGTTGTTCCATGCTCGAATCTCCGAGAACGGCCTCCATGCTCGGCGACGCGGTGAACAACGAGCTCAGACAGGCTCAGGCATCAGATTTTCCAACTTTCTGTTTTCGGGGAACTGACAGGCAGTCGGGAGCGGCAGAGAGCAGCGCGGTATCTTCCAACCGGGAGGTGCCCGGTGCCCGGAGCTAAGCCCTGGAGCACTCGCTTTTGAGTCCTGCAAGCTGTGGTTTGGAGTGCGGTATCAACGTGGAATGCTTGCTGCTTCACATGTTTCTTGAATGCCATTCCCTGTGCAGCCAAATAGAATGCCAGACAGAGGGAAGCTCAGGACACTCTGAGATGTCTTATCTGCACATGGCTTCTCAACAGGACAATATTTCCTAGTAAACATGACAGACTTCCGAAGCGGAGCAGTGAGGTCCTGATGAACTGGCCAGAAGAACATCAATGGCAAGAAGCCACGGCGAGGTTCGCATACAAGATGCAACTACAAGAATGTTTGAACACGCGGCACATGGTCTGGGAGCCTTGCTTTCTTGACGAGTCTGCCGCAATGCGCGTGGAGCATTCGCAAGCTAGCATCGTGTTTGCAAGCATGGTGTGCTGTGCTGAGAATCCCGCCCACAGGATAGCCAACAACACGTACCTGGCAGAGATGCTGCTTCAAAGTGCAGCTCTTGGAAAGAAGACCATCGTGCAGCATGTGTGGGGCTTTGCTTTACAGACTTCAGGCTTGACATGGCAACCTGTACCAGCAGGACAGTTTGTTTACGGCAGCTGGTGCTGATGACATACCCTGTCCCGTTCATCCTGCCTTGTCAAAGACTCGGGGAAGTTCTGTCGCCTTCAGAGAACATGTGACGATTGCCATGTCATTTGACACGTGCATGAACGTAATGCCCAGGACGAAGCAGATCCAACCACCAAAGGCTCCATCTCCTGCGCGGCGGCTACTGACAGCGCTATTGATCTGGCAAAACTGCAGCGTCCACTTTTCAAAAGCATGCGGTCGTTTCTGCGCCATTTAATTTAAATCAAGATGAAAAACTGGCCAATGCTGCTGGCTAGTCTTCTTGGCCATGTTGTGAGACTATGGTTCTTTGCTGCACTCCCTAAGGCACTTGTTGCCATGTCCTGCCTAGGCTCTGAGAGGCTGCTTTCATAGGCGCTCGAGGACGAAAATACTGGATTGATCTGGTGCAGTGTCCTTGCTGGCACGGAAGATGCGCATATCCTCATCGGTGTAGGTACATTGCCAGGTCACGATGCCGTCTGTCGAGGCTGACACCAGGCCGATTCGAAACCCGAACAGGATCGGGTACCAATCCTCACGACCCAGAATCATCCCCAGGGGGCCCTTGGCCTTCCAAGATGTGACCCACTCGAATCGAAGCAAGCCCAGAAGGAAGGAGGATGTGTTGGTCAGCGTGCGCTCTCGTGTTTTGACTACCTGGCGAGCTTCGCCATTCAGCAGGCCAAAAGTGCCGGCATTCAGGCTGTTTGAAGAGCTGAAGAGAACTTTCCACTCTCCCTCTAGGTCACCAGAATCAGCACCAAAGGTGACGGCATTCAACTCTTCCAGCTCGGATACCGCGTCCTCAATCTGCAAGAAAAATGCCGGGTCCATCAACCACCCTTGACCTTCAGGCACTTGTTGACCAAGCTCCTTTACCAGCTGCTTCCGTTCTTTTACAAGTTTGGGATCTGCCTTCTGCTTGCGTGTTGTCGGACCTCGCTTAGCATTTAACTGGCTAGCTGGCTTTCGCCTCACCGTGCCCAGCAAGGCCAAAGTGCCGGCAGCACCACCGGCACCAGCAGCAACGTGGTGGTGCACTGGCCTCGCTGGCACAGGAGAACCACGCAACGTGGGCCGGAACGTGCTTAAGCGACTCGAGCCACCCAAGTTGGTCAACCAAAGTGCTGCCTCCATGGCTCGCATTCAAAAACCGAGGTAGAACCAATGGCTGCAGCGACCTCAAATCTAAGCGGCATCACAGCTGAGCTGCGTGTGTCTTCTCCCAGCTCTCCGCCCAACATGTAGCAACGTAGTCCTCCAGAACAGCCTCATCTTCCAAGGTCAACCTGTCATTGCATTTGTCCTGCTCTTGAGCAGGTTTTCTAGCTTCCTTCGTACTTTGGTGCAAACCGTGGGTGCCATTTCTGTTCACACCTGTCTGCCGGTGAACGGCAGATCTTGCCAATCTTCTTCAATCGGACTTCCAGTTTGGGGCACCTCTGTGCGCCAAGGCTCTCCACAACCTCAGGCGCAACCTCCCCTCCCAAGCTCATGTAAGTAGACAAAGTGAAAGAACAAATTCCCGGCTTGCCACGGCATCTTCCGCTTGTGACCAAGGACCCAGGATCGTGTCCTTAACCTTCTTGCGAAGGGATAAGGATAAGGAGCTGTCTTCTTCTTCTACGGGCTATGCTCACTGCTCGCGCATCAAACAAGAGCGGACTCCCCCGGCCCAACAGGTCTCAGTCTGGTTGGTACGATGAGGCCCGGAGCAATACCCCTTCCAATCCCACATTAGCTTCTTCTTCTATGCGCTAAACGCAGTCCGAGGACTGCGCGTGGGCTGCGCAGGGTAGCTGTACACAGCGAAAGGTTCGGAGAAAGCTGTGAAGGACACTCTCTTGCTGCGCAAATGGCAGGAGGGTTCTTGTTCCCCAAACACAAAACAACCTGGTGCAAGAGGTCTCCCTTCCTTAGGTCATGGTCCCTCATGCTTTGTACATCATGTTGAAGTATTTGACCTTGCTGTACACCTCTCTTGCAGTTCTTCATTTGGCTATTTGTCTCCGAATTGACCGAATTGCCTTTACTTGCAGTTGTCATCTTCGACTCTGAATTCCCCACTCGCCTCATCAGCTCACCAATCATTACCAGCGAAGCCGATCACATCCAACACATCCATCTAGCAAGTCGCCCTGCCCCCTACTCCCTAGGTGGGGGGTATAGTTCTGGACTCCCAGCTTCCCTAAGAACTTTATCTTAGGTCCACTGGCCTGCATGCTGAATTCCCTTCCCTCATCCTCTTGATGACTTTTCTCGTTCAGTGTGTTCGGTAAGTTCGATACTTTGACTCTGTGGCAGTAACATGGACTTTCCGACTTCCGTCCCTGCGCTTTTCTCCCATGACTTGCTTCCCATATGTCTGAGCTCACGTGTACCTCATCCGATTCAGTCAGCCATGGTCGATCTCTGTTGCTCACTCAGACTGTCTTATGTGCAGCGTGATGAACTTGTGAACCTCTGCGACGGCTTGATCTTCCCCAACCACCTTGTCCCAGAAGGGCAGGGCCTAAGTGTGTAGTATTATTTTTTGGAGCATATAACTTTAGAAGGAATAGTTAAGCTTCTGCCTTGGGCCTCTGGAGCATGGCTTGAATAAGCAGCTGCCTCGCACATGGGCTGCTTCGGGGAAATCCTGAAAGCCCTAAACCACCACTAAACCCACATTAGCTCCTCTCTCTCTCTCTTCCTCTTTCTGTCTTTCAGGGCTATCAAGGAGTCCGGAGACCCCTCCTGAGGCAGAGCCTCAAGCCCGGACAGTTCAGCAATCCCACGCACAGGATCTGACCAGGAGGAACGATGTGCCGAAAATTCACCAGGCCCGAGCAAACACACCCTATCACTACCATGCTTACTCCACCACCCTCCCGTCCGATGACAAGCTAGGCGAATCGACCTCCATCCTGCTCGACTGGCTTGTGAGACTCACCTACACAGCTCCAACTTCGTCAAATAGGCAAGTCTACCCCTTCAAGCTCTTCTTCTTCTTCTACTGGCTTTGCTTGTTCCGGAAGGAGTGAGCCAGGGCTACGCCCCGAAGCCGCGAACTGTCCATGTGAGTCGGCCCAAGCGAGGCTCGGGATAAAGCGTATAAGGAATCCCAAATCCTTTAATTCCAGGTCCATACCACTTAAGTTCAACCGTGCCCCACCCAACTGCCATTTGGGACTCCCTAGAGGCTTCTCCCCTTCTCGTGCTTGTTGTGAAACACAATTTCCCCGCGGTCACCAACAATATTTAGTATATCAACTACTCCCGGCACGCTTTCCATCCTACTGCACTACTGGCAGCACGACCAAAAGTCTTGGGTAGGATTGCTTGCGAGTGGGCTCTTAGAAGCACCGCTGTAAACTATACCTTTCTCCCTCTCTTTGCAAGCTATCGCACTCCCCTGGCGTTCAACGGTCTAACTCAGCTCCCTATTCCCAGCATGTACCCTTCAAGCTCTGTCTCTTCTTCTTCTCACTGCTATAACCCTTTAGGGGGGAGGGGCCGGGGCAAGGCCTCAAGCAGGACAGGTTCAGGCCGCTGACACTACCCCAGGCCTCTCTCCCTCTCTGTCTCTCTCCCGCGCTGCTTTCAGGTAACTTGGCAGGAAATGCAGCGCCAGGTCAATCTCGTGGCAAACTGCAGCAACATGAGCACCTAGACAAGACTCAGCAGCAAGAGTTCTAAGCCAAGCAGAAGAAGGGCCGATACGAAACTTTTCACCGCCATACCGGTCGTTTGTGCGCTGCACCTGTCAGAGAGATGCCCGCTTTTGTCAGCGAAAGCTGTGCAAGGGCTTAAACTTTAACAAAGTCATTCCCCAAGGCCTGCAGATATCTGCTGTCTGCCACTACATGCGCGGCTGTCAGTACCTTGCCAGATGACTACTCGATCCCGGGCTTACTCTGAGATACATGCAGTCCTTAGTCCCTTGCCGCATGCTTAGGGACATTGCCACACATTCCTGAGTCCAAAAAGAAGTGCATGCATGGCGCTTGCCTAGGCCATCTTCGTAATAACGCCCCACGTCTGACAGGGCAAGGAAGATCAACAATAATCTGTACATCTTTCTCAGTCAAAGGCTTATGGAAATGACAGCGCCCGATCCTCCGTTGTGCTTGCGATGAATCCGAAAGCAGACAAGGCAAATAAAGGCGGCAAATCAAACTCAAAGCGTTAATGTGCTCATGTGCCTGACGTACTTTCAACCGGCTGGTCCTGGCATGGCTGATTTTTTCCAATTAGCGGCTTTAAACCAAATGCTCAGAGCGGACTTGTCAGACGTCCTGCCAGGGAACCGTCCATCCAGGTCGTTGTCGAGTATTGAAGATCTTGACCACCTTTGTCAGCAAAGGTTTCCGCAATTGGCAAATCTCAGCAAAAGCGAAGAGCTCCAGGCCGCAGCACGCGGATCTTGCGCTCTAGCGATCTGCCGAAGCGGGCTGAAAATGAAACGAGCTGACTGAGTGGATCACGGACGCGCTCTGAGGTGCCTTTGAAGTGTAATGAAATTTGCCGGTGGAGGTCCCCGCGCTCCTGCCCAGTCCTGTGCAAAAACAAGGTGCAAAACCTTGCTAAATGATAGGAGTCTAGACGCCTATCTAGTTGCTTCTGCAAGCCACATGAGCCACGAGAATGTCATTTCTCTCGTTGAACAGATATAAACAAATTGAAGGGGTCAACGCCTCGAAGCGCCTCTCGCACGTAGAGTCGTATCATCTGGTATCATAGCCTCACAAGGTCACGAAGGAAATTCTGTGACAAAGCAATTTAATTAACTTCACAAGTCAAGGTTGCTAAGCTCGGTGGCGTGGTTCCAAGGTTGCACTGCTGCAGGGCATGGCGTGGAGGTGTAACCAGAAGTGCAAACGCGAAAGCACATCGATGGAGAAGCTTAGTGCATCAGCTGCATCAGTAGTCCTATATCAAAATATCAATACGCACAATAGGCTGTGTATAATCTTTTTGTTGGAATTGCTAGGCCAGCCAATTCACGCACACTTCACGCGTACTTCGGTCCAAGTCAGCAGAATTTTCCAGGATGTGATCAGTGGATGAAGCTCAAAGCCTTTTCCTCGAGACTTGTATCAACTCCCTGGTCCCGACGCTCCCGTGCTTCCTGCACTCGCTTCAACTGTCTTCCAAACAACCTCGTCACTCGAAACGCAACAATTACTAACACAATTTGAGAAGTGCATCGGGAGGCAGAATCTATCCCTAAGGGTCCAACTGCCTGAGAAGATACGTTGGGCCTGAAGTACCTTTGTAGGAACCCGTTTGGGCCCAAATTTAATCTGTTTAGGCCCTTGGACCCTCAAGGTATGGCAATCCCTAGCTCAGTCCCGGCGGCGTCGCCTGCAAAAGGCAAGGCAGGGTCACAGTTGCAGGATGCTGCAAGCAATAACAACTTCATGGACAATGCGTGCTGCTGTACAGAGGCCGAGAATTCGAATTCATGATTCACATCATGAGGGCAAGAGCGAATCCATGGAAGCTTCGGGTGTGGTTTCGGCCTGGACGTTTCACCTCGCCTTCGAGAGCGAGATCGCTCGTTTTCCTCAGGTTTCAAGTATCTCTGCCATGCTCGTAAACACCATGTTCCCAAGGACTTGGCGCGGTCTCGACCTTTCAAACAAAGGACCAATGCCGGCATGCACTTCCCTACCACTCAGCGTCCTCGTCGGCTCCGCTCCCTTTCTTTTGAGTCGCGACTCCGCCGCTTCGCGGAAAGCTCCTGCTAGGCAGACAACAGGTTTGACGTTGTACATCGTTGTAGATCGTTGTACGCATGAAGTATTTCGAGTCCTCTTTTTGCAGCTTGCTCTTGCTCCATTCATCTACCC